GCGCAACTACAGCGTCGTACAAGGTCTGAGCACTCTTGTACTGACTAAAGTGCGCACGCTCAGAGGTAGGGAGGTGGCGACGCACAGCAAGACGTGCAGCAGCATCGCGGGTGGCCCACTTAGAGCGGACAGCGGGATCAGCATCAGCAGCAGGGGCAGGAGAGGCGCCAGAGGTGAGGTCAAAGAGAGAAAGGTCGTCAGCCCTGTCGCATTGTAAGAACAGCTGCAGGTCGTCTAACCAGACCTCAAAATCAATGGCGCGACCCTCAGCGTCAAAAGCTAGGACACTAGGGGTAGCCATGGCGGCGACAGCGACGCAGTGCAAGCAGTAGGGAAAGAGCTCGCAGTGTCAGTGGGACTGTGCTCACCAGGCAGGGCAGGTCGTGCAGCTATGCAGAAAGGCGGCTCAGGGACCGGGCGGCTCGGGTGCACAGCGGCTCGGCTCCCGGGCGGCTCGGCGGCTGGGCGGCTCGGGCGCAGGGCGGCTCGGCTCCCGGGCGGCTCGGCGGCTGGGCGGCTCGGGTGCAGGGCGGCTCGGCTCCCGGGCAGCTCGGCGGCAGGGCGGGTCGGGTCCCGGGCGGCTCGGCGTTGGGCGGCTCGGCTCCCGGGCGGTTCGGCTGCTGGGGCGGCTCGGCCGGGAGATGCAGGAGCAGGCCGTCAGGTGCAGCGGCGGGTCGACCGGTGCAGTGGCGGGCCGGCAGGTGCAGCGGCGGGCCGGCAGGTGCAGTGGCGGGCCGGCAGGTGCAGCGGCGGGCCGGCAGGTGCAGGCGGCGGGCCGTAGGGTGCAGCGGCAGGCCGGCAGGTGCAGCGGCGGGGCCGTCAGGTGAAGCGGCGGGCCGCTGGGTGCAGCGGCGGGCCGGCAGGTGCAGCGGCGGGCCGGCAGGAGCAGCGGCGGGCCGGCAGGAGCAGCGGCGGGGCCGTCAGGTGAGGCGGCGGGCCGGCAGGAGCAGCGGCGAGCCGGCAGGAGCAGCGGCGGGGCCGTCAGGTGAGGCGGCGGGCCGGCAGGAGCAGCGGCGGGCCGAGGGTGCAGCGGCGGGGCCGTCAGAGGCGGCAGGCCGTAGGGTGCAGCGGCGGGCCGTAGGGTGCAGCGGCGGGGCCGTCAGTAGAGGCGGGGCCGCGTCAGGGGAGGCGGCGGGGCCGCGTCAGGGGAGGCGGCGGGGCCGCTTCAGGGGAGGCGGCGGGGCCGCGTCAGGGGAGGCGGCGGGGCCGCGTCAAGCAGGCGGCGGGGCCGCGATCAAGCAGGCGGCGGGGCCGCGATCAGGAGAGGTGGCGGGGCCGCGTCTGAGGGACAGCGGGGCCGCGAGGGAAAAGGCGACCCGAGGGGTCGCTAAAAAAAGGCGCGCCTCGGGGCGCGCTTCGGTGGGCCCTAAAAAAAACGGTCCTAAGGCAGGACCCGCTCTATACCATGTGAAGCAAGGAAAACAGGAATGAAATGACTAAGTCAGAGTTGGGTACAAATACAACCCTAGAAAGCTGTACCCCATATGTGCTACCCCACTATAGCCTACAAACATGCATCAGCTATGATAATCTGACATAGCATACCATTCGAGAGGCTCTGCATCGTCACCCTCCCCAACAACTGCGATGTTGGAGAACCATGGCCGACCATAGAACATCGGCGCAGCACGAACGTGATGAGGTAGGCGGCTAAATGCCGCATCGATTGCAGCTGGCATGGCCAGCCCGTTGTGGATCTGTGAGTGTAGTTATGTTGCAGGGGAAGGACGGGATAACGAGTATGTCAGAGAGAGAAGGAAGAGCGGTGAAAGAGGGATGAGATGCCACCATTTTGTATAGCAACAAAAGGGGGAAAGAGAGAGGAGGGGGATGAGGTGGTAGGTTCAAGGGATCATCTTACGTGGATGGTGTCGATGCTACCTCCCGAGCATGCAGGTGCCTCATTCAAAGCGCCCTGTAGGAAGGGAAGGTCCGCAGATAACGCCGTCAAGAACTCGCTATCTCGGTCAGCATCAGTTGTCAACGGCACCACGAAGGGTGCCACTAGCCGGTTGGCAGGGACCAACAGCCTCCAACTCTCTCGGGTCATCACCCTTTCACCCGTCTGTTGAGCCTGCAGGCATGATCGTGTATAATAGGAATGAGTGTTATATCTACGAGTTGGAAGGTGTACGACCAAGTCAGCTATGAATAAAGTAGGACTCACCTCAACCATGCACGTGTCGTAGGCTTTACGCTTGCCGAGAACTGGTGCAATGGAGTCCAGGCGCAGACGCATCACCTCACTATTCATGATCTGTGCAGTGGCCGTGCGTCGGTTCGATGCTCTGTAAGGGTTCTTGATGTACTCGATGTGCAGGTGCTCAAACATCTGTGTAGAGTAGTGCTCTGGCAAGCCAGCACGACGGATCGAGTCAATGTAGTGGCTAATCAGGTGCATCTTGATGAAGCGCCACTTTGACGTCTGTAGAAGAAAGGCTGATTTTAGGGTGAAAATCAACCTGCCATACAATGGTGATGGTGGGGGAAAATATGTTTGAGCAGAAAAGGCATTGGCTAGAATCCCATAGTGGTAGTCTTACGTGTGCAACAACATATTGCATGCACGCGCTGCATAGTATAGTAACACATGGACATACCTTTCGGCCTTGTGCTTCAAATCACGCAGCGTCTCTGTCGTATGCTCACTGGCGCGGGCACAGTAGGTGTACCAGTCAATGTAAGTTGCAATCGCGTCCAACTGCGCCTGAGGGACAGTCGACTCAAAGCCACGCACTAGAAAAGGAAGGACTTGCATGACACTCCTATGCTCATACGCCTGATAGCTCGCGCCTGAGGAGAAATACTCGCCCCCAGGCAGGCGCATGAACGGGTTGCGGTTGTGCTCCCGCAAGTAGGCCATTCTCTCGTCGGCCTCTTTTTTTTGGGCGATGGTGAGTTGTGTACGGAAAAAGTCAATGATGTGCACAAGAATTCCCAAATCTGCCTGGTGCATGATATCAGGCATGACACTCAAATAAGGGTTCAAAATAGGAATAGATGACCAACGCCAACCCCACAGAAAACAATTCACCGGATGTGTTGACATGCTTGACACGCCTTTCGGAAACAACCGCATTTGCAAAAGCGAGGTAATGCCCTTTTGCATATGTGGAGTACGAGGGACAATGCGAGGCAATAGTTTGTTGGTCTCAGCAACAGGGACTGTGCACAACGAGCATGGGAAGCCTGTGGCCCCCGATTTTGTGCAAGTCACCTTGCACGACTCCGGATAGTCACATGCGTATGCGTACAAACCAGGCCACGCGTTGTACGTGGCACCAGTAGGGTCCTGGACTCTCACTCCGGTGTGTGAGGCCTTTTGCAATGGTTCCATGACCATTGAAAGGATGTGTTGGAAAACAATCAACTTGTCTAGCGAATCGTACTGAGGCGTGAATTCAGGTAGCAAAGCAAGCAGTACATGGCCCCATGGCTTCCAACGGTCATGCTTGTCGATGTTTCTTAGTGTCAGGTACACTGGATGACCCTTGGCCTTGCCTCTTTGGTCCATATGTGTCTCGTCGCTCGACAATATCAGAGCAACCACGACCCCGTCCGGGTCCACTTTTTTGACCTCATTGTGCAAAGTAAACCACCAATCCCCGGATTCGGGTGATGAGTACACATGTGTCTCACCGGGGATGCGCGAAGTGGGTTTAAGAACGAGTTTGTCCGCATTCTTTGGATGTGTCAAAAGGTCAATCATCCCAATGACACCATCACAAAAAAAGAACTCTAACGAAGCTTTAGTCTGTACGCGCACAAGACCTCGTCTCCAGTTACGGTGAGGATCTGGGATGCGTTCATCGACGTATTTTTCAACGTCTCGCGCATTTCTGAAAACCACAACGTCGTCATTGAACTTTGAACCAAGGTTCAAGATGAGGAGCAACTTATCAATAGCACTTTTGGACAGATTGGAGGTAAGGAGGAAATGAGCGAATGCATCTGCAAAATTGAATGTGTCGCTCTCACCTACTGATGCCGCCCCACCATCCCCTACGCCATCAGCTTCAGCCCTCTCCTCTGTGTGGGTTTCGGGCTCAGGAATGGTGGGACTTGAATTAGGAGGAGGAGGTTGCGGGGTGTCAGGCATGGGTGCAGTTGCTGTGGGTATGTTCAACATAGGCCGTGGCATGGTAGCTTGCGTGGTGCGTGGAAGTTGCATGGAGCGTGAAGATTCAGCGGTTGCAGAACGATTTGCGGCGGTGGCTCGGCACGTTTCGCCATTTTGATGGTTTGTGAGCGGACCCCTACCAGAGAACCCGGCAGCTCCGCACACTCCGCAATTGTAAGCCATCTGCTATAAGAAGAGATGGGAGGGTGGTGGTGAGGGGCGGGTGGAAGGGAGGTGAGGAGGGAGGAGTAATGAGAGACTGCTGAGGGTGGAAGGATCCCTGAACGAAGGAGCGGGGGGAGAAGGAGGCAGCTGAGTGCACACAGCCAAGGGTATCAGGCAGAGGGAAGGCAGGGGGCTTACGAGGGCGGCACAAGCTTACAAGGGCGGCGGGTGTAAGAGATGGTGACAGGGGAAGGGTGGGAGACGGGGGAAACCGGGGGCGACGGGTGTATGAGAGCATGACAGGGAAAAGGGTGGGAGATGGATGGAAACATGGGCAAAGGGGGAAGGGGTGGGTGACGGGGAGAAACGAGGGCGACGGGGCAGGAGTAGGTGACGAGGGCGGGGGTCAAGAAAAGGCGGGGGGGGAAGGGGAGGGCGAGAGGGGAAAGCCAGAGGCGACGGGGGAAAGCGAGTGCGACGGGGGAAAGAGTGGGTGACGGGGGCAAACGAGAACGACGGGAGAAGGAGTGGGCGGCGGGGGAAAGCGAGAGGGACGGGGAAAGGAGTGGGCGGCGGGGGAGAGTGAGAGAGACGGGGGAAAGCAATGACGACGGGGGAAAGCGAGGGCGACGGGGGAAGCAAGGACGACGGGGGAAAGCCAGAGGCGACGGGGGAAAGCGAGTGCGACGGGGGAAGCAAGGACGATGGGGGAAAGTCAGAGGCGACGGGGGAAAGCGAGTGCGACGGGGGAAAGAGTGGGTGACGGGGGCAAACGAGAACGACGGGAGAAGGAGTGGGCGGCGGGGGAAAGCGAGAGGGACGGGGAAAGGAGTGGGCGGCGGGGGAGAGTGAGAGAGATGGGGGAAAGCAATGACGACGGGGGAAAGCGAGGGCGACGGGGGAAGCAAGGACGACGGGGGAAAGCCAGAGGCGACGGGGGAAAGCGAGTGCGACGGGGGAAAGGGTGGGTGACGGGGGCAAACGAGAACGATGAGAGAAGGAGTGGGCGGCGGGGGAAAGTGAGAGAGACGGGGAAAGGAGTGGGCGGCGGGGGAGAGCAAGAGAGACGGGGGAAAGCAATGACGACGGGGGAAAGCGAGGGCGACGGGGGAAGCAAGGACGACGGGGGAAAGCCAGAGGCGACGGGGGAAAGCGAGTGCGACGGGGGACAGGGTGGGTGACGGGGGCAAACGAGAACGATGAGAGAAGGAGTGGGCGGCGGGGGAAAGTGAGAGAGACGGGGAAAGGAGTGGGCAGCGGGGGAGAGCGAGAGAGACGGGGGAAAGCAATGACGACGGGGGAAAGCGAGGGCGACGGGGGAAGCAAGGACGACGGGGGAAAGCCAGAGGCGACGGGGGAAAGCGAGTGCGACGGGGGAAAGGGTGGGTGACGGGGGCAAACGAGAACGATGAGAGAAGGAGTGGGCGGCAGGGGAAAGTGAGAGAGACGGGGAAAGGAGTGGGCGGCGGGGGAGAGCGAGAGAGACGGGGGAAGGCAATGACGACGGGGGAAAGCGAGGGCGACGGGGGAAGCAAGGACGACGGGGGAAAGCCAGAGGCGACGGGGGAAAGCGAGTGCGACGGGGGAAAGAGTGGGTGACGGGGGCAAACGAGAACGACGGGAGAAGGAGAGGGCGGCGGGGGAAAGCGAGAGAGACGGGGAAAGGAGTGGGCGGCGGGGGAAAGCGAGAGAGACGGGGGAAAGCAATGACGACGGGGGAAAGCGAGGGCGACGGGGGAAGCAAGGACGACGGGGGAAAGCCAAAGGCGACGGGGGAAAGCGAGTGCGACGGGGGAAAGAGTGGGTGGCGGGGGCAAACGAGAACGACGGGAGAAGGAGTGGGCGGCGGGGGAAAGCGAGAGGACGGGGAAAGGAGTGGGCGGCGGGGGACAGTGAGAGAGACGAGGGAAATCAATGACGACGGGGGAAAGCGAGTGCGACGGGGGAAAGCGTGTGCGACGGGGGAAAGAGTGGGTGACGGGGGCAAACGAGAACGACGAGAGAAGGAGTGGGCGGCGGGGGAAAGCGAAAGAGACGGGGGAAAGCAATGACGACGGAGGAAAGCGAGGGCGACGGGGGAAGCAAGGACGACGGGGGAAAGCCAAAGGCGACGGGGGAAAGCGAGTGCGACGGGGGAAAGAGTGGGTGGCGGGGGCAAACGAGAACGACGGGAGAAGGAGTGGGCGGCGGGGGAAAGCGAGAGGACGGGGAAAGGAGTGGGCGGCGGGGGAGAGTGAGAGAGACGAGGGAAATCAATGACGACGGGGGAAAGCGAGTGCGACGGGGGAAAGCGTGTGCGACGGGGGAAAGAGTGGGTGACGGGGGCAAACGAGAACGACGAGAGAAGGAGTGGGCGGCGGGGGAAAGCGAGAGAGACGGGGAAAGGAGTGGGCGGCGGGGGAGAGCGAGAGAGACGGGGGAAAGCAATGACGACGGGGGAAAGCGAGGGCGACGGGGGAAGCAAGGACGACGGGGGAAAGCCAAAGGCGACGGGGGAAAGCGAGTGCGACGGGGGAAAGAGTGGATGACGGGGGCAAACGAGAACGACGGGAGAAGGAGAGGGCGGCGGGGGAAAGCGAGGGTGACGGCGGAAAGAGAGTGAGCGACGGGGGAAGGAGTGGGTGTCGGGGGCAAGCGACAGCGACGAGAGAAGACGTGGGCGGCGGACAAAAGCGAGGGCGAGGGTGTAGCTACAAATCACACCTTGGGAGATCACCGTGACTTCAAGGCAACCTTGCCGCCGAGTCGCAATAATCTCGCGGTTTAGCCGCCAACAGGAGTCGCTAGTGAAGCCTCTCCCAAAGTTCAACCCTTAAATCGCAGGTAACCGCACGGATTTGTCGCGCAAGGAAAATGCTATGGTTTGTCGGGCAAGGAATTTTCGAGTTTGGGAAAAAGCACGAATTTGGAATTTGGAATTCCAGACACAACACGTCGAGCAGAACAGAGTATGGAGTTCATTTCCCCCTTAAGCAGAACTGTCAAGAGTTTTGGGGCCAAGGCTGGGAGTCGCTGGGGCCTAAAAATCTGCCCGTTTCCCGAAAGGCTGAGACCAAAAACAGCGTTTATAAATACGGCTACAAACCGAAACGCCCCCTTGCTAAGATCTGACACATGGTGCCGTTAAAATATCAGCCACTTAATACAGTGGCAGGATGGGTTATCAGATCGCAGGGAAATGCAAACATCACTTCAGTTCGCAATGAAACACTTTAAGCTAAACATCACTTTAGACATACGGACTACCCACTCGAAACCTACCCGTGAACACTTCAAACCGACCCGCGACCAAAAATGAATGTTACAAAGCGACACGGCTGGTCAAACGCGGGTGAACGAGTGGGAATGCGCCAAATCACCAAAATGCGAATTAGCGCGACTCGCAAAAAAACGCGCAGCGATACAAAACTGCATTGACTAAATTGTGGCGGGAAACACACGTGTCAACCAACGTAATCAACCTGGTCGTGTAAGACAAAACCAACGGACGCGCTACATAGTAACATACTGCATGCACAGTATAACAACCAGAATAGTAAAAACACTATAACTGTCCCATACAATACCACAATAACACATGCACAACCCTAATTGGCGTGCCTGTACATGACAATTAAGCAAAATTGTCCGTCGTCATGTGTATACATATACATACAATCACAAAGAATACTTAGGATTTTTTCATAGCAAATCGACTGTTAAATCGGGAATCTAACATACAATAATCGCACCGTACCAATTTCAAAAATGTAAACAACGAACTCTAACACGTATGACGAAAATCAAAGCGTAGCGTCTGGAATTTTAAAACGATTCAACTACCTTACCAGTCAGATAACATAAGCTAATGTAAAGCAAAAAACCAGCACACACTGTAAACGAGCCAAACAATATCAGAAATACTACAGAGGGGAAAAAAGGCGATGTACCAACACTACAGGAAGGCAAATGCCACCTGCAACGAAAAAGGAAACCAGTAACCAGATCGCGACTGCCGCGTCTGCAAATCAGAACCGGCCAGAATAGGCAAACAGTGGCAAAGTTACTAGGGAGAGTACGTGGCACAATTCACGGCTGCATCTCATCCAAACCAGCTCGACACAGACCAAACCCTAAACTCTCGAACCTCGGCCGTTCCAGTCAGCCCGTTAAATGGTTGAAAAAAACAGAAAATAAACGATCAGTCGTCAGTTTCGATCATTTCGAGTTCCACCGACACATCTAGCAGGAAACCTATGGTTTCCATTTGCCCCCCCCCCTCAGAGTGCTCAGGGGCAAAACCCTTGGGCCTGTGTTTGGCTGACAAGGGATTTTTCCGATGGTGTAACCCTAGGCGTGACGTGATCGTGCAATGGGGCGTGTGTGCGGCAGCCGCATCAACGCCATGGCGCAATGCAATAGCAACAGCCTGCTATGAGTCGCTCACGGGCCCACGCGCCCGTGCGCCCTGCTTTACGTGCGCCCACGCGCTCCTGCGCCGTGCGTTCCGTGCACCCACACGCACGTGTGCCGTCCTTTCTGTGCGCTCACGCGCTCCTGCACCCTGCTTTCCGTGCGCCCACGCGATCCTGCGCTTTGCTTTCCGTGCGCCCACGTGCCCGTGCACCGTGCTTTCCATGCGCTCACGCTCACTTGCGCCGTGCTTGCGTGCGCTCACGTGCTCGTGCACTCAGGCGCGCCGCTCTCGCCTGCGTGGCATGCGCGAGTCCGCGGCGAAGCAGCAGGCGGCGTCCCCCGGCGCGCCCACGCCTTCCGCCGCCCTCTCCGCACTCCCCTCCCCCGACTTCTCCCCCACCGCTTATGCGTAAATGCACCAGGGGTATGTGGGCAACAAGGCGGCGGTCTTCCCCCTGCAACTGCTGGGCTTCGATGTGGACCCAATCAACTCCGTGCAGCTCTCCAACCACACTGGTGCGATGCTGTTGGTTGGTTACCTGGTAACCATATTGGTGAGAATGGTAAGCCCTCCCCACGCTGCTGGGCTTCGATGTGCCCCCCCTCAACTCCGTGCAGCTCTCCAACCGCACTGGCGAGAATGTTGGTAACTGCGTTGGTGTGCATAGTGGTAACCACATGGGTGCTTCATGGTAACCGCACACTGGCGAGAGTGGTAACCACTCCCCACCCTGCAGCTGCTGGGCTTTGATGTGGCCCCCCTCAACTCCGTGCAGCTCTCCAACCACACTGGTACGATGCTGTTGGTTACTTGGTAACTGTACTGGCGCAATGGTGTTGGGTACCTGGTAACCACACTAGTGCAATGCTGCTAGTTACTTGGTAACCACACTGGTGAGAGTGGTAAGCCCTCCCCACCCTGCTGTGTCACCGGTGCATGTAGGTGGTAACTGCACCGGTGCATGTGGGTAACTGCACCGGTGCATGTTGGTGGTAACTGCACTGGTGCATGTTGGTGGTAACTGCACCGGTGCATGTTGGTGGTAACTGCACCGGTGCGTGTTGGTGGTAACTGCACTGGTGCATGTTGGTGGTAACTGCACCGGTGCATGTTGGTGGTAACTGCACTGGTGCATGTTGGTAACTGCACTGGTGCATATAGTGGTCACCACACCGGTGGTGGTAACCAAACTGGTGTGACTGTTGGTAACCACACTGGTGCGAATGTTGGCAACTGCACTGGTGTGAATGTTGGTAACTGCACTGGCGCATATAATGGTAAGAGGGGCCCTTGTCTCTACTCTGTGACACGAGTGCCTTGAGGTTCATGCATCCCGTGTGTGCAGGGTAACCCATGTCTGTCATCCCTCTGTTCCCTGCTTGCCTGCCCGCTCCATGCCCCATCAATCCCATGCAGGGTACCCCACGTGGAAGGGGCAGATTCTGGATGGAGAGCAGCTGTGGGCGCTAATAGAGGGCCTGGAGGCCAATGGGCTGCTCTTCTACACGCACCTGCTCACCGGTGGGTTCCAGGTGCATGATCACCTGTAGCTTTGAAACAGCACATCGCACATGGCTATGCAATTTCTCTTACACTTACCATGCCTCTTGTCATGCCATTTCACATGCCCCCTCACATGCCATTCCACATCAGACATGGGCATTTTGACCTGACAGGTTGGGTCGTCGGGTCGGGTCTAGGACAGGCCGACCGGACCCGGTCAAGTCGACTTGCGACCCGTAGATTCATATGTCAGTCGGGTCGGGTCAAACCGACCCGTTGACGGGTCGCACTGGACCCGCCTATGATCACCCAATCTTCTACGCACCATCAGATCTGTTTGAGTCCTGGCGCGCACATCAGCAGCCGCGCTTCCCACAACCAGAGAGTAGTGCGCGCCACCCCACAGAGCAGCGCGCGTTACTCCCACCTGCATACAACGCTCGCTCCCATGATTGAAAATACTAAGCTGAGTGCGCCACGTCAGGCAGCAAAGTGCGCGCCACTCCCAACTGCCAACTCACATGCCCTTTCAAATGCCATACCTCATGCCGTTTTACATACCATGTGACACGCCTTACATATCCCATCCCCCATACCATCCCCCATGCCTTCCCCCATACCATCCCCCATGCCATCCCACTTCAACGCCACACATGCAGGGAAAAGGGGATTTAGTGGCAGCATTGCTGCTTGGATGGTCTCATGTAATCCGTTGCCGCATGGCAAGCATCTCATTGCGTCTCAGTCCTACATTCGAACCCACATGCCATCCCCCATGCCATCCCACATGCAGGGAACAGGAGATTTGATGACAGCATTGCTGCTTGGATGGTCACATGTGAGCGGGGCAGTTGCAGCATGGTGCTGCATCTCACAGTGCTGGTTACATTTCACAGTGCTGGTTACCTCACAGTGCTGGTTACATCTCACAGTGCTGGTTACATTTCACAGTGCTGGTTACCTCACAGTGCTGGTTACATCTCACAGTGCTGGTTCCATCTCACAGTGCTGGTTACATCTCACAGTGCTGGTTACATCTCACAGTGCTGGTTACATCTCACAGTGCTGGTTACATCTGACAGTACTGGTTACATCTCACAGTGCAGTGATGGTTACATCTGATTGTGCTGGTTACATCTCACAGTGCTGGTTACATCTCACAGTGTTACATCTCACAGTGCTGGTTACATCTCACTCTTCTGGTTACATTGACTCAATCTGCTCCTCATTCTCTCAGCTCCTCTCCTCCCATTCTCTCCCTCACACACTTTCCTTTCCCCCCTCTCTCCCTCTTTCCCTCCCTCCTTCCCTCCCTCTCTCCCTCTTTGCCTTCCTCCTTCTCTCCCTCTCTCCCTCCTTTCATCAGAAGTATCCTCACGACTTGGCTAGAGCAGCGGAGCTAGCAGTGGCATCCCTACAGGTGAGCAGCTGCTGTTGCGCCTCGTGCTTGTGTTTGTTGATGCTCTGCTGTGTTTTCAATGTTTGTCTAGCTTTTCTGTTTCAATAGCAGAGCTGGCAGTGGCATTGGGCTGTCCATGGCTTTGAGGCAAGCTATATGAGCAGAGTTGGCATTGGCAACCCGTGGCATTGCAACCTTCCTGACCTGATTGCTCCTCTCCTCCCATTCTTTCTCCCTACAGGCTGTGCTCGCACGAACCTTGCAGCACCGCTCTCCACCTCTGGACGGCACCGAGTCCTCTCCCACTCCCCCCACTCCCAAGCGCCTGGAGCTCTGCCTCGTTCAGAGCCGCGATGACATTATAAGCCCGCCTGTTGTGTTACGTGCACAAGTGGTTGAAAGCGGTGTAGATGGTTTAGATGGATTGCATGATGGTGAAAGTGCCTTGGTGAGTGGTGACAGTGTAGGGGTGCTGCATGATAAGGGAGTTGATGCTCAGCTGACAACTGAGAGCTGAGTTGAATGTACTGTAAAAAGAAAACACTCAACTGTTTTTGGCCAGGTGAGGCACTTCCCTGAGCACAATTAACACTAAGAAAAGGACCAGGCGAATTCGAACTCACAAGCTGTTACGCTTCAATATTTCGGAGAGAGGGTTATACTAGTGGTCCTGTGTTGAATTAACTTGGTAGGTATCATGTTATACTACAAGCAAGTGATTTCCGTACTGACCTCTCTTGTCAAGCATCATGGAGGACGCAGAGCCGATGCGCGCGCTCTCCGCCCACATCGCGTAAAAACGGACGCGGGTATCGCCCTTACTTAGATAGTCTCCCTCAGCTTTCCGCTCTATCGCCGCGTTCCTTCCGTCCCTAGTCCCTCCCCGCGCTGCGCGCGCTCTCCGTCCACAGCGCGTGATGCGGACCGTACTTGTCTCCCGCCGAGTAGCCATGGAGGACGCAGAGGCGCGCCGCTGCGCAGCATGCGCGAGTCCGCGGCGAAGCAGCAGGCGTCGTCCCCCGGCGCGCCCACGCCTTCCGCCGCCCTCTCCGCACTCCCCTCCCCCGACTTCTCTCCGCCGCTTATCCGCACGCATCTGCGTGTGCGCCATCCGGGGAAGGCGGACCTGGGGGAGGTAGATCTGCTAGACGGCCAGCAGGAGCAGCCACCACAGGCTCGGGGAATTTCTCACAGGCCTCATGTAAATATCTTCAAAGCTCTAGCGTGTTTGTCTTAAAGCCCTATCATTCTCATCTTCCGAGGCACCTGATCTACCCTACTCCCCAGCACCACGAGTGTCAAGTGCTGCCGTTTATGATTCCCAAGTCATCTCTCAAGCATTTCTCGTGTCATGTCGTGCTGGTGCCGCACCGTGCCGGGTCGCGCCGTGCCGTGCCGGGTCGCGCCGTGCCGTGCCGTGTCGTATCCTGTATGCCGACCGTATGTCGAAAATGTCCATCGGGGAACTACCTTGAGGCAGAAGCAACTCAACGTCTCTCCCTCCCCATGTGTGATGCACCCTCCAACTGCCTGTCTAACTAATATGGACCCTTCTCCCAGGTTGAATAGAAAAAACCCCTGTTTCTGGCCTCCGTTTCCCTCCCTTGCAACATCCGGACTCAAGCAGACGCCATCACTGCATGTGACATGCTGCGCGCTGCAGGGCCCAGGAAGGTATGCGAGGCTACAGGGGAGGAAAAACAGTGGGTAGGTAGGTGAGGGGGACTTTCTGGAATCTCAATACTGTTTCGAACAAACGTGTGGCGGTGGATTAGCCTGCTGCTTGATGCTGCGGGTCCCAGAAACGTATTCTGCACGGCTAGGGCCTAGAGGGGACGAAGAACTGTGGGGCAGGAACTTTCGGGAAACTCAAATTTTCTGAAGTGTTTTGAATGTAAGTATGATGGTGAATTGCGATGGTTTTGCATGCTCTCTCATCCCCCCTTGCTCTCCCTTCTGCCCTCCTCTCCCTTCCCCCCTTACTCCCCTCCCCCTCCCTCAGGCGGAAAGGCGACAACATGAGCGTAATCGGAAGGGTGATGGCAGAAAGCTTGTTTGTGATTGATTAATAAGCAGAGATGGGGTACAAGAGAGGGGGAAACCCCCTTAAAATCCTGAAAAAAACCCCCCACAGCCCCCCTAAGGCCCCCCTACCCCCCAATTCTCCTCACAGCCCCTCACAGCCCCCCTCGAACCGCACTGGAAATCCCTGGGCATGGCCCACGCATATCTGCTCCCTGTCATATCACATTCCTGCTTCTGCTTCTACTTTGTGCTTCCTATCTATCATATCCCTCCCGAGCATGGCATGGCATGGCATGGCATGGCATGGCCAACCAGGGAGGGGCGCACAGCACAGAGAGCCAGGAGCTCATCCACCACTCCCTCTTCTGTTCTGCTTCTGCTCCCCACTCCCCTCCCTTTTCCCTCACCCCTCCCCGCTTTCTCTGCGCGCCTGCGTATATAATAACAAGCACATACACTCACATTCGCTAGGTCATCAAATCTATAAGTAATCTATCACTCTACGCGTCGTAGCAAATAGCCTCATGTTGTCGACAGGAGAAAATGGCAAATGCGCTCCCTCCTTGTGCGTCTGTTTCTCTCTCTTCTTCTCCCTCATGTCCTGCCCTGCGCATGGCTGAACACAAGCAGGTGGCAACGCATCTACTCCCTGTTTCCGTTTCTGCCACTCTTTCATATCCCAAACCTGGCCCAAACCAAACCTGCACTCCCCCCCCCCCCCCCCATGCATGTATAACAACAGGCACATACATTGATGTTCTTAACGTGATCAGATTCATCCCTTCTACCACTCTGCACATCGCAAGCCAAGTGTCTTCATCTTGGCGACAGGAGAAGCTGGCACCTGCGCAAGGGGAGGGGGGGAGTTGGGGTGGGGGAGAGGGGGAGCGGAGCAAGTGAGCGGGGGGAGCAGACCAAGTGAGGGGATGGCAGGAGGTGTGAGGGCATGGTGGGATGGCAGGTGTGAGGGATATGGCAAGGTGTGCAATGCATGCTCTGAGGCGACTCACAACGCACATGCGGCTGGTTTGGTGGGGCATGCAGCATGGCATGGCGCTGCGCTCCCTCCTGCTTCTGTTTCTCTCCTTTGTCCTCTCTCATGTCCCGCGCATGGATGATCAGGGACGGGCACACAAGCAGCTGGCAACGCATCTGCTCCCTGTGCAAAGTATCTTCATCTTGGCGACAGGAGAAACTGGCACCTGCACAAGGGCAGGGGAGGAGTTGGGGTGGGGGAGCAGAGCAAGTGAGCGGGGGGAGCAGGGCAAGTGAGCGGGGGGAGCACCCTAAACCCCCTTACCCCCTTACCTGGCAGGAAATGAGAAGGCACCATGCAGGGAATGCGAATGCACCTGGCAGGGCATGCCAAGGCACCATGCAGGGCATGAGAATATACTGGGCAGGGCATGAGAAGGCACCATGCAGGGCATGGGAAGGCACCTGGCAGAAGGGGGGAAGTGGGGAAAGAGGGGAGGGGGTGGGTGAGACATGCTCAAATAGGCAAGCGCTGCACTGGTACCTGGCAGAAAGGGGAGGGGAGAGGGTGGCCTGGATGTCTCAACGTTGCCCATGCCCCCTTACCGCCCCTTAAGCAAAGAATGCACACATGAACAAGAACAAGCAAGCAATCAAACTAAAGGGGAGGACAGAGGGGAGGGGGTGAGTGAGACACCTCGAAACATTATGCCCTGCACTCCCACCTGCTGGAAAGGGGAGGAAAGAGTGACACACCTCAGCATGCGCAGCACTGGCACCTGCTGGAAAGGGGAGGACAGAGAGGAGGAGGTGTGTGACACACCGCAAAACAACATGCGCAGCACTGGCACCTGCTGGAAAGGGGAGGACAGAGAGGAGGAGGTGTGTGACACACCGCAAAACAACATGTGCAGCACTGGCACCTGCTGGAAAAGGGAGGACAGAGGGGAGGGGGTGAGTGAAACACCTCACAAAATTATGCCCTGCACCCCCACTCCGTGCTGCACCATCCGTCACACCACGCGCTGCTCTGGCAGCTGCTGAAACAGGGGGAGGGAGGGAAGGGGAGGGGAGTTGAGGGGGTGGGTTACATGACTAAAAACAAAGGAGAGAGAGGAGGGAATGGGTCACATGACTCAAAACAGAGGGGAGAGACAAAGGGATGGGTAACAAGTCTCAAGAGGGGTTGAGGGTATCATATGAATGATACTATGTTTAGTTCTTGTATGTTCTTGTTTCTGTTCTTAGTTCTTGTTTTGGTTGTTTCTTGAGCCGTTGTTTCCGTTCTTCTCTCACCATGGGGCGGTGAGGTGAGGAGGCGAGGTGCTCGACAGCGGCGCGTGGAGGGCTGAGCCGCCCGCGTGGAGGGCTGAGCCGCCCGCGCGGAGGGCTGAGCCGCCCGCGTGGAGGGCTGAGCCGCCCACGTGGAGGGCTGAGCCGCCCGCGTGGAGGGCTGAGCTGCCCGTGTGGAGGGCTCAGCCGGCGTCCATGGGGTGGCCGACCCACCCCATGCGCCATCAACACCACGTGCTGCAGTGGCTCATGCTGGAAGGGGTAGCCTGGTTGTAGGGTTTCGGGTTCAGAGGGAGCGGAGGGAGAGGAGACGTGATTGGAAATTCCACTGAGCATTCTCACGAACAGCAGCGCCTTGCACCCAGAGTCCACACTCGCGAACCAAGGCTGTGGGATGTCGAGGGGAGGGCGAACAGCAGGGGCAAGGGGAGGGAGAAAGACGAGCAGAGAAAGGGGAGTGAGAGGGAGAGGGAGGGGTGATGATGGATCCTCAGAAACAGCGGCGCCTTGCACCTAGACTCCACACTCACAAACCGAGGCTGAGAGGGAAGGGGAGGGACAAGACGAGGGACAAAGGAAAGAAACAAAACGTTTTTTCTCAAACAGCAGTGCCTTGCACCCAGACTCCACACTCACAAACCGAGGCTGAGGGATGTCAAGGGGCGGGCGAACAGGAGGGGCGAGGGGAGGGCAAACGGTAGGGGCAAGGGGAGGGAGAAAGACGATGGGAGAGAGAGGAGGAGCGATAAGGGTTTCCACTTAGCATTCTCGCAAACAGCAGCGCCTTGCAGCCAGCGAGAGTCCAAACAGCAGCGCCTTGCAGCCAGCGAGACTCCACACCCCAAAGTGAGACCAGATGAGAGCGTTCAGTCAGGTGGCTTTTGAGTCGACTCAAAAGTCACCAGGTGAGAGCGTTCAGGACAAGGGGAGGGACAAGACGAGGGGCAAGGGGAGGAAGAGGGAGGGAAAAGAGGATTGCGAGAGAGGGAAGTGATGGGTGTTTGTGCTGGGCATTTATGCGAACAGCAGCGCCTTGCACCCAGACTACACACTCATGAACCGAGGCTGAGGGGCATGCACAAGGAAGGGAGGGAGAAGAGAAAGGAGGGAACAAGGAGGCGAGGATGCACAAGGGGAACAAAACAGGGGCACCTGGTAGCCTGAGGTCACGATTGCAATCGAGCCTGGGGGACACAGGGAGAGGGAGGGATACGAGGGGAGGGAGTGGGAGGGAGATAAGGGGAGGGTGAAGGAACAACAAGGGGAAAGGAGGGAAAAGGCACCCACCTACCCATCCCACGCACCTGTGAGCCGCTGCAAAACACACACACCTGTTTCCTCAACCCCCTCTCCACACGCACGCACCTGTTTCTTGAGTGCTGCCACTTCATTCCCCAGCAGCGCATCGATGGACGAACCCCCCTTCGCCTTCCCTGCAGATGCACCTTCCCCAGTCCGTGCCTCCCCCTCCCCCTCCCCCTGCGCCTTGCCAGCCTCCAGCTTGTCACACCACTGTGTGTGGGGCGAACAGGGATTAAGCAACATCAGCTCAGTCAGATAAGCCCTCCCCAGCCACCTTCCCCAGTGCTTGCCTCCCCCTCAGCCCGCGCCTTCACGGGCACCAGCTTGCCGCCGCACAACGGCGTGTGGGGCAAGCAGGGGAGATGGAAGGAAGAAAGGCAAAAACAGTTCAGTCAGATAGGCCCTCCACAGCCACCTTCCCCAATGCTTGCCCAGTCATCTATCTACCTACCCTCCAGGTTCTATCGTTTGCCTATGCGCCCCACTCACCTCCTTGCCGCCTCACCTGATCCCCTGTGCATGTCACCTCACAAGCTGATCTCCTGACCACCTCTTACCACCCCCCCCCCCCCCCCCCCCCCCCCTCCTCTCCCTCACTGTGTGCTCGTGCCTCACCTCATCGAGCACGTTCACAATCTCCCG